TTGAATTCTTGTTTCTTCATTCTGTTCCAGTTTAATGTTTATTTCTTCCTTCTGCTCCAAATCATTGATTTGAGTTCCAGTTTCTTTCCCTTCACTGTTGGTTCCCTGTGTGTTCCTCTTCATTTCACTTTGCTTAGCTTGCACTTCTTCCTCTATTTTGCAACCATCCTCAACCATTTCTGTGAACATCCTGATCACCAGTGTTTCAAACTCTGCATCTGATAGGTTGGCTATCTACTCGTCACTTAGTTCTTTTCTAGAGTTTAGATCTGTTTTTTCATGTGGGCCATATTTCTTTGTCTTGGCACATCAATTATGTTGTAAGGGGCAGGGCCTTAGGTATTCACCAGAGCTACCGAGCCACTTTGCTGAAGTGTGGCACTGTATGTGGGGGAGGGGTCCAAGAGGGAAAAATGCCACTTTCTTAGCCCTCAACCGGCTTTCAGTCACTTCCCTTGCTTTCCACAAGTGGATTATGACCTTTCAGGTGCTGACTTCTGGTTGGGTGGGCTTGTGTATGTTTTAGGATCCTGTGGGCCCCTCCAACAGACCCTCCTGTGAGGCTGGGAGTTTCTTCTGCTGCCACAACCCTGACAGGTTTTGAGACTTTAATTTATCATGCCAGAATCCTGGCTTGTGTGGTCTGTCTCGCTCTCCAGTTGTTCCTTCCAGCTTATCCACACGTGAATGTGAGACCGACTGGTATGCCAGCTGCCGCCTTGCCACACATTGTCTCTGTCTGAGCTTCCTGTCTCTGTCCCTTCTACCAGTCTGGATGAATGTTTCTTTAACTGCTTGGTTGTCGGACTTCCATACAGTTTGATTTTCTGGCAGTTCTGGTTGTTGTTGTTGTTCTTTTAAATTTGTTGTTGTCAAAATGAAAATAAAAATAAAGATAATAAATTTGTTGTTGTCCTTGTTTTGGTGTGTAAGGAAGTGAAGCATATCTACCTACATCTCCATTTTGGCCAGAAGTCTCCACCATTAAATTTTATTATTTCTTGAAAACAGAATATAGGTACAGAAATGTGCATAAAGCATGTATGTACATTTTAAGAAATACTTGAAAAAAGAACACTCATGTTACCATTAGTCAAGGTCAGAAATAAAACACTGGGGCACCATGAAAGCCCTGTGTAGGTCTCTCTCAGTTAAAAGTCCTCTCTCATCCTCAGGGTAACCACCCTCCTGACTTTTATGGTAATATTTCCTTGGTTTCTTTTCGTTTTATCACCTCTGTATGCCTACTTGAACAATATAGTTTAATCGCAACTATATTTGAAGTTTATATAAATGGATCCATATCAGAAGTATTTTTAAAAACAACAACTTTATTGTGATGCAGTGCACATACATAACAGTCATGGTTTTAAGGCATACAATTCAGTGGATTTTAAAATATATTCCAAGTTGTGCAGTCATTATCACAGTCAATTTTAAAACATTTGCATTACCTCAAAAATAAACCTTGTACTCAGTAGCAGTCATTCCCTTTTCCCAAACCCCTGGCAACCATTAATCTACTTTCTGTCTCTATGGACTTGACTAGTCTAAACATTTCATATAAACAGCATCATACAATATGTGGTCTTTTGTGACTAGCTTCTTCCACTTAGCATAATGTTTCCAAGTTTCACCATGTTGTAGCACAAATCAGTACTTCCTTTTATCTATCCATCAATTGATGGACATTTGGGTTGTTTCCACTTTTTAGCTATTTCTAATAATGCTGTAAGTGTATTTCTTCATTTCTCACACTCCTTCCCAATGTACAAATTGAAGGAGGAAGATATTAATAAAGAAAAATTGTAGGGGAGTGGTTTTTAAGCATCGCTGAGCCACTGACCCATTAAAAAAATCAACAAACCTGCCCTGACTTGTGTGGCTCAGTGGATTGAGTGCTGGACTCTGAACCAAAAGGTTGCCAGGTCAATTACTGGTCAGGGCACATGCCTGGGTTGCAGGCCAGGTCCCCGGTTGGAGGCACATGAGAGGCAAATGATCGATGTATCTCTCACACATTGGTGTTTCTCTCCCTCTCTTTCTCCCTCCCTTCCCCTTTCTCTAAAAATAAATAAATAAAATATTTACCAAAAAAGATCTACAAATCTATGGATTCAGAAAAATATAGTCTGTCTTAGCTTCCACTGGCTGCAGTGACAAATTACCACAAACTTGGTGGCTGAAAACAAGAAAAATTTATTCTTTCAGAGTTCTGGAGGCCAGAATTTCAGTATCAGTTTCTCTGGGTTGAATTCAAGGTGTGAGCAGGGCTGTACTTTGTTCCTTGCCTCTTCCAGTTTCTGGTGACTACCAGCATTCTTTTGCTTGTGGTCACACACTCCAATCTCTGCTTCTGTCTTCATACCCCTTTTTCCTTTTCTGTGTGTCAGTTTTCTCTTATCCACTCTCTTATGACACTGATGATTGGATTTAGGACACACTTAGATAATGCAGGATGATCTCTCTATGTCAAGATCCTTAGTATAACCATATCTGCTAAGACTGTTTTACTTTATAAGATAACATTTACAGGTTTCAGGGATTGGGACTTGATATATTTGAGTGGCCATTATTCAGCCTCCTACAGAATCCAAACTTTTTCCATACAATTTCAGGAAGATCATGGACCCAGATAGGGACATCTGCTTTGGAGATGCATTTCACCACAGATATGCTGTGAAAAGATACATTGGAGGCAGGTACACTTACTTACCATCTTCTTTACGCATCAAAATCAACTATAGTGCTGGTTAAAAATCTAAAATCTAAGATCACACCCCTAGTCCTATTTCTAAGTCAGAATGCCCCAGAGACCAGGCTCACGAATCTACATTTCTTTAAAAAAACTTTATTTGTTTATTAGTGTTTGTTTGTTTATTTATTAATTTGGAAAGGTAGGGAGAAAGAAAGGGAGAGAAATATTGATGTGAGAGAGAAACAACAATTAGTTGCCTCTCGCACATGCCCCAACTGAGACCAGGCCTGCAACCCAGGCATGTGCCCAGACTGGGAATCAAACCAGTGACCTTTTGCTTTGCTGGAGGACACCCAACCAACTGAGCCATGCCAGCCAGGGCCCAGGAATCTACATCTCTAACGGGTTCTCCAAAATGATTCTGATGCAGCCAGCTTTGCACTCATTGTTTAGTGAGTGACTAACAGCCTGGGTGCCTAAGTTCCCTCCCTGTTAAATGGACATACTGTCACCTTCTTCACAGTCAGAATTATCTGTGCAAGCCTATTTGCGCAAAGAGAGTGCTAATGTTTCCCCCTCTCCCTTCCCAGTATACAAAGCTGAAGTACTTCTATAGTTTATTTGCTTTTGATTCCATTTTGTGTTTAATGCACTTGGCCTAAAGGTGTGGAGATGAGCAAAAGGGGAGAGGGAGAAGGGAAAAGTTACAACTCTCCCAAGCGGTGCAACCAAGCTGCACATGACATCCTGTAGAACTGTGCCCTCCTCTAATCACCCCAATCCTCATGTATAATTTGTCTTGGCCCGAGGCTGTGCGGGGAGCCACCCCGCCCCAGCCTCTTTGATTGGCCACGCAGTCCCGGGGGTCACACTCTTTTGTCTCAGTGCACAGAGAATAAAAGCCTCCGAGGCTGCCGTGGGAATTGTGCGGCTAGGATTCGACTCCCCCTAGCTGCGCAGCTGTGTAGAGCAGCTCGGTCCTGGCAGCACTGGGTCGCTTAGTGGCGGAGGAAGTACCCATGCCCATCATTTTCCCCTTCAGGGTAGTGGACCGAAGGTGGCACACAGAGCTGTCACGCGGGAGCATCCACTGCCCACCCGCGGAGCAGCAAACGGGAGCGACTGCCCAGGGCAGAGAGAGGAGGGGACTGGGCGGATCCCCTCTTGGAAAATCGAGAACTGCGAGGCAGAGCGCAAGGAGCACTCCTGTGGGTCTACTGCGTTGAGTGAGGAGGTGAGGTGCTGCTGGAGGCTGCCGAGTGAGTGTGATTTGCCTGGATTAGAGGGGAGTTTCCTTGCGGGTCGGGGGAGACAAGGGGCTGGGGCCTGGAGAGAATCACAAGCTGTCTGTCCTGAACCCCTTTGTATCCTCTCGTCTCTTCCTGGGGAGAAATATGTAGGTGTGCGTGTCCAAGTCCTATTCCCTTTTTTGGTGGCAGGCCATCAAAACCAAACACGAACCTGAACTCTGTGCGGCTGATTGCAAAGCAGGTAGGCTGACGATTTCCTCGGGGAAATGTAATGGGACCAGGGTCGCTTTGGCTTGTATTCATAAAGTGAGAGAGGGGATTTTCCACTTGGCTACAGCAGAGGCAGCGAGGGTTGGGGAGGAAACGAAGGAGCCGGATGAGGGATGAGGGTGTTTTTGACCCTTCTTTCCCTGCTCCGCCCTCCGTGGTGGCGCAGTCTTGACGCCCCTAGGTACAGGATCGGTGACCCCTAATGGGCAGCTTTCTTATGGTGGCCACCAGTTGCAAAGGCTGGTAATGAAATAAAGGCCCGTGCTTGCCCCTGAGCTCGTGTACGAATCCGAAAAATAAGGGATGGTGGTGGGGGCAGAGAGACACTTTAACAAGGGTGGTTGAGACCAGAGACCATGAGGTCAATGAGGTCTTATTTCCCACAAATCTGACCACTGTGCTCTATTTTGACAGCCTAGCATAAGGTCCATATACTATTACACTTAGAAGCAACAATAACCATCCCTCTTGAAGAACTGGAGGGATGGATGTGGCTTTCAAAAGCTCCCTGCTAACACGGAGACACCCGCTGGCTGGGTCCATGAGATTGTAATTGCCAGTCTCCTGGAGGGCATTTTTAGGGCAGTAGGTAGATATAAAATGTACTGCAGGATATTCAGGGAGAGAAAAAAAGCTGCAGACTTATTGATCCCTTATTACTCTCGTTATTTTTTCTTTTTTACAGTTCCTACTGAGATATGAGGAAGGCCTGCCTGCAGATTAGGCTTTTCCAAAAAGCACAACTTTCTTGTTAATATTCAGATACCCTATCATCGTTGGTCATGGCTAGCATCATTGCACACATGGGCAATACCTGGCGGCAGAATGCACCCTTGCCGCCCTGGGCCCACTCTATGCTGAGATCCCTGTGGAGGAGTCTTGGTCCTTTAATGGCCAACATGGCAGACAGGAACATGACGTTGTTCTCAGGGAGGGTGGTACCAGCTCAAGGGGAAGAAACCTTTGAAAATTGGCTCAACCAAGTCAATGGGGTCCTGCCAGATTGGAATATGTCTGAGGAGGAAAAGCTCAAGCGCCTGCTGAAAATGCTTAGGGGTCCCGCCCGGGAGGTCATGCGTTTGCTCCAGGCAGCCAACCCCAGCCTAAGTGTGGCAGATTTCTTGCACGCAATGAAATTAGTCTTTGGGGAGTTTGAAAGCAGTGTGACTGCTCATGGCAAATTTTTAAACACTCTACAGGCACAAGAGGAGAAAGCCTCTGTTTATGTGATCCGTTTAGAGGTGCAGCTCCAGAACACTATTCAGGCAGGGATCATAGCTGAGAAAGATGCAAACCAGAGTCGCCTGCACCAGCTCCTTTTAGGAGCTGAACTGAATGGGGACCTGCGCTACAGGCTGAAACATCTCCTCAGGATGTATGCAAATGATCGGAAGCATCTTCCCAATTTCCTGGAGTTAATCAGAATGATAAGAGAGGAAGAGGGCTGGAATGATACTTTTATCAAACGAAAGCGGACCAGGAGATCTGAGTTAATGGTGGAGAGGGCAACCAGCCCAGTGGCATTTCAGGGCTCCCTACGGATAATGATTGGCAGTGCTGACTGCAATGTGATAGAGATAGATGACACCCTGGATGACTCAGATGAGGATGTGATCCTGGTGGATTCTCAGAACCCTCCACTTTCATTCTCAGGATCTCCTCCTCCCAGAGGTAGGGTCAAACCTTGGGATCAAGTGCTAGTCATTGATTCCCCCAACAGTTCCCAGGCTCAATCTCCTTCTACTAGTGGTGGTTCTCGGTATAAGAACGATGGTCCCGGAGATGTGCGTAAAGCCAGGAAGCAAAAATACACAATCTGTTGTTCATATTGTAGTGAGGAGGGTCACTCGAAGGAAATCTGTGACAACGAGAGCAACAAGGCCCAGATATTTGAGAATCTGATAATCACCCTGCAGGAGCTGACACATACAGAGCAGGAGGGGTCAGGAGAGGCTCCTGATGAACCTGATGACCCTTCTGAGTCAGTGTTACAGTGAAGTGCTAGACCCCACCCTTAAATGAATCCTTAGCTATATTCAGAGTCAAGTGATGGATAGAGTCAGGACTGGGAGGGATGCCTCTAATTGCATGAATTAATCCACAAAACAGCTTTCTCTTAGGGTGGAGCACAAAGGGTCTTAGATAACAGCACAGTGGAGGAAGATGGCCTGTCCTTTGACCTTTATTGCTCACCACTTTTGCTGTCTAAGGCTCTATTTCTTGTGTGTGCACATTTCTTTGATGGCTTTATTCTCTTTGTGAAAGTGGTAGAAATCATTGTTAAATCTTCAAACAATAAAAAAGTACAAAAAAGACAGTACAAATAACTCCAAATTTTCCACCCTTATATGGGTGGAAAACCCTGTCAACCCTTTGATGAATATCCTTCTAGATGTTTCCCTATACTGATGTACCCAGATAGACGTATATGTATAGATAAAAGTGTTCAAATATAAATGCTGTTCTATAGTTTGTATTTTTTCATGAAACAATTTATGTTGTGGGCTTCTATGTTAATAAATATGTATCAGCATCTATTTTAATGTCTCTGTGGCATTATTTTAAGAAGAAGTAAAGGAAAAGGGAATAAGAGAAATATGCCTTAAAAAGCTCTAAAGGGGTGGAGTTATACCCTGAGGTGGGGTTTTTAGCAATCTCATTTTACAGGTGAGGAAAAGTGAAAAAAAAAAAAGGGCTGAAATATTCCCCAAAGGTAAATGAACAGAGCCTTTTATTACAACTCACTTGTTGCTTAGGTCACAAAGCCAAACTATGGCACCTACTAGTTGACAATACCCAGTGCCTTCTTCTGTAATATATCCAGAAGAGTTTGATGGCTGGGGAGTCTGGTGCTGAGATCACAGTCCAAAATGGTGAGTCCAGAGGTTCCATTCCTGGTCCCTTTGGGGAGGGGCAGCCCTCCTTCCTCTAGGTGGATTTCTTAGATTATTGTCGCTGCTTCTAGACAACATTGGTCACAAGCAGGAATCTCTCTTGTGGACTGAAACTTCTCTCTCCCCAACCCCCAGTTAAGGAAAGGAAAGAACAGCTACTAATGGGAGCCCAGCACCAGAGGCTCAGCCGCTACCATGGGAGCCTCAACCCATAAGCCCTGAAACTACATGTGAAACACAGAAGGTCGAATCTAAGGATCTTGACTGCTCACTCAGATAAGCCAAAAAACGTCTCAAGGAGGACTAGATGGGGCAGACATAACCTTCATTACTCACAGTATAGGAAGCACTGATGGCAGCAGATCAGCAAAGCAGGACCACACCTCTTTGAGTCCAAGACTTGTTTTAAGGGGTCCCAGACAAAGGGGGCATGTGTCTTCTGCATAACTCTAAACTACATTACCTCAGTGTGTATGTGCAGACATAAATGGTCAAGAAGCAGTCACAGGACAAGAAGCTGCTCCCAGCAAGAGATAAGGAGGGAATTACAGTCCATTTCCAAAGCAATACACATTCCTTCTGGCTAGGGGCCCTCCAACCAGCCTTCCATTATGGGGGTTGGAGGAGCCATGTCCAGCATGATCCTACATTCCACCCCAACATTGCTCCTCCACCTCACATTCTTCATGTTACATTCTTCTCTTAGGGGACCCGTGTGATGAGCATGTTGGCACATTGCATCCATATGCCACAAATTCAGTAAAGGCCCCCAAGACCAACAATGCAAGACAAAACCCAAAGAAGCCTAGAAGGTTAACGCCACCAAAAACCTAGACAATTCCACCAAGTTGTAAAAGGGTCAGAGGCTATGGCCGATGTATGGTTAATATCAACTGCCTAGGGCAGTTGAGGCTTGAGATACGCTGTGAGAATTATCAGGGATGTATCCTCAACACTCCATGTGCAGAATGGTACAGGTAATGCCCTGGGGGAGCAGTGAGTAAGTCTGCTGCCGTTCTATCCTGCAGCACAACTTTCCTCATTTGAGTTACCTCATCAGAAACCAGGGCTGTAGCATGTCTGCTGTCATTAAGCGCTATTGCAGTGTGATTTGCTAGGGCCTTAACGGCTTCATGGGTTAGAATAGTACCAGCAGGGGGCACAAAAATGGCTGGGGGTAGAACCACCAGTCAGAGTGCTTGACTCAATAGCGTGCTCCAAATGAGTCCCAATTTCGAGGGACACTTAGAAGAGTATTTAACACTCACCCTGGATGTATGGTTCTCCCCAGGTACAATGTCCAGTCCAATTAAATGGGAGGTAAGGCCAACCATATTGGCCACATGCCCACAGGGCTCCCCATGGGATGGGATGGGATGGGATGGGATGGGATGGGATGGGATGGGATGGGATGGGATGGGATGGGATGAGATGGGATGGGACGGGCCTGTGTCTCCCTAGTAGACTGCCCCCAGTGGTCTGTAGTAGTCATTACTGTTATCTTCTTGTACAGAACTGACGGCATCCACCCATGAGCTGAACATTCTTGTTGACAGTACTATTTCTATGTTCAATACATATGGGCAGTGGTTGTTGCACCTCTACCTGTAATGTTGACAGCCACCCCACACCGTCCCAAACTGTGTACAAAACCCATGGCTTGGTGAGGGTGGCCTGTTCCCTCATGAGGGAAAACACTCTTTTATATATCTACTCAAAGAGGGATTCAGGAGTTTTCCAACCAAGCAGCCCATCCCAAGGTGTCTGTCTAGTTTGCAGGTTCAATCCACCATGGTAGGCCAGAGGAGGCAGCAGTGGGAAATTCAGTACAGACCCAACAATCAGAAAGGTTGCTGATGGCTGCTAGCCTACTAGCCCCCTGTAGAAAGGAGTTTCCAGAGTAGTCTAAGGGTGATAAGAGAGATATTTAATAGGAACTGATAAAGGTAGATCTTGGCAGTCTGGCAATACACATGCTACAATCCAGTCTTTGGTTAATATGGTTACACTGACTGGTGGATGCCTGGGCCGTTGGTTGGTACCATGCCCTATCTGGCCCTAGGCTAAGAGCCTCCTGTGCTCGAAGGGCAAGGCAGGTGTATGTACCTGCTAGATTGAAGCTATATAAGTTCCCTTAAGAACTGAGGTTTGCTGTGAGTTGTAACAAACAAGGGTAAGGGGCCAAGAGGCCGTTACCATGGGTGCCAGCTGCAACCCCATGACAAGTCCCTCCCCATAAGGAGCCACCAAGGAAGACCAGCAAGACTGTACCTGTGCCTGTCAGGGCCAGGTGAGGGTGCATTTCCCTGGGGGTATGTCTTGGGGCACTGGCAAGAGCATGTCCCAGCCCAGGGTGAAGCAGAGGCTCCTGTGTACTTAACTGCAGGCAGATAGGCACCACCCAAGGTTTAGTGAGGAGGGTGACGGGAGATGTTTGTTCTACCCTAGGCCATTTGTTCAAGATTCGAAGTCAGGCAGACAGGCAGGTCATCCACCTGTAGAATGAGCTAGAGTCAGTCTTCAGAGTGCCTTTCGAGAGGCCATTGTACCTTTCAGTGAGGCTGGCTCCAGTAAGGTTGTATGGTAGATGGACTCTTCAATCTATATTGAGGGCACCTGCGCATTCTTGCACTTGATGTCTTATGAAATGGGTGCTTTGGTTGCTTTTTATGCCATCTAGGCTCCCATAGGCAGCACAGAGATGCTTTAGGCCTGTGATGGTGGCTTTCTGTGTGGCCCACTGGCATGGGTCTGCTTGCAGCAAGCCAGTAGTCGTGTTCATGCACATCAAGGTACAGCATGAGCTTTTCAAATAGTGGCAGTGGGCTGATGTAGTCCACCTGCCAGCAGGTCAGTGGGGTGTCCCACCGTTGCAGGCCACCTGTATCTTGGGGCAGCCAGTGAGGGTGCTTCTCTACACAGACAGTGCATTGCTGACAGGCCATGACTGCATCAGTGTAACAAAGAGGTAGGCCCCAAGCTCTTACCACTTCCTGTCAAGTCTTCTGTCATGCATGGTGCATCTTTTGGTGGAGCCACTCAGCTGTGTATTCTGCTACATCCTTTTCCAACCAGATGTGTGCCAGGTCGTCGGCCTCAGTGTTGCCAGGGCTGAGGAGAGATTGGTGTCCATTGACATGGTAAAGAGTTACATGTTTTCCAGACTATTTTCATACATGTCCTTCAATAGGTCCTACACTCACAAGGGTTTTGAGTCATTTGCCAATCATCTTGCTGCCAACGGGGCAGCCACAGGGTCAGTCCCCTGTATACTGCTCAGCAGGCTATGCAGATGGTCACCAGACCAGGTTCTCAGGTTATGATTATCCACACAGCTCTCAACTTAGCCCATTGATGACTTTGTCCTCAGCCATCTTCCATCCATATGCTGTCCATGCTGATAGGCCTCCACCCTCCAGGGGGTGGCTGGCCCTGGCAGGAGCCACCAGTATACCAGGCATCCTCAGGCACAGGGGCTTATCCCTCTTTAATAGTAGGCCCAGCCATAGGGAGAGGAGCAAGGACCTCCATGTCCACCTCTAGGTAAGAAACCAGGCCCAAGAGCTGCTATATTTCTAGGCTCAGAGAGCTCATGGCTAGTTTGCTTCTCTGTTGGAGACATGGACTCCACTCAGTAAGAGTGGCTGTCTGTGCTACTGAGCTCTTGGGTCGGCTTACCACGTCCTGTACCCATCCAGTGATGGGACAGGTAGTGTGCACTAAAACCTCAGCCAGTCCAGTAATGACTTCAGTAGCGAGAAGAGCCTGGTAAACTGTTCACTTTTTTTTTATTGGGATGTATTGTCTCTACTCCCATCCACAGCTGGGACCAGAAGCCAACTCGCACCTTAGCATACCCTTGCCATTGCCAGAGGCCCCAGGCATAGCCTTCAGGCATGACGTGGTCATCTAAATCACACTCCTGATATTGATCTATGACTCCCATGCTTGTACGTTCTTTGCCACTTGTTTAGCAGCCTTAAAGGCCTGGTCATGCTCTTGTCCCCAATCCCAGGTGGCTCCTTTGAGGGTGAGGCAATAAAGAGAGGGCACTGGCTGAGCTAAGTGTGGTATGACAACCTGCCAGTACCCCCAAATTCTTG